CCCCAAAACCCCAAAACCCCAAAACCCCTATAAAAACAACAAAAATTGAAGATATTGGATATTTTTCTTAAGATAATCTGTTCAATCACATACAAGTCTTGATGAGATTTCTAAAGAATTCCTTAAAGATATGTTCGGGTACCCTATAACCTTATTCATTTCATTTACCACACTGGTCCTTCATCTTGGGTCACTATTTGCCCTAAAGACAGTACTCTAGCCCCAAAATATCTGCTTATTATCTTGAAAATCTGAGTTAAATAGAGATTCCGTCGAAGATCTGGGCCGCTAGGCTCATCTGACTGGCTTAATTTACTATTCTGACTGCACAATGTGGTATTAAAAATATCTATGTCTGCTAAGAACTCTGAAAATCTTGCTAAATCAACTGCTTGAGCTTCACATGAAGAGAAGCATCTGATAGCTTTATGTACTGAGTTAATTATATTATCACTGACTCATGATATAATCTCATTTACTACAACTGTCTTTACCGGCTGATCTTTAAGCGCAATTGCTAAGTAATCTGATTCTAGATTAATGTGAATATGTATCCAAGTTATTAATTATTGGATAATTAAGTATCCCAACAGCATTATGTTTTGAGGAAATCTACTTTGCATATGCTAGAACTAAAAGCAGTTTCTCCTTTCTATTTGGCCTCAAACCAAATGGAAATTTAAAAGATAACTAGAGGAAAACTTGGTTGGATTACTCTAAGAAGATCCTGAATAATATCGGTGTTACTGTAATTTTGTAACTAAACCTTCAATTCAAAACGTATGCAAGACATCAGATAAAAACTCGAGTTGCTTACTTGAAGAAGTGGGTACTAGGCCTTTCTGGTCAGCACCCCCAGCCACGGTTGAGGGCCCAACTACACAAATACTTGCATGCTAAAGTTAAAAGGATTTACTCACCATGATGAAAGGAGTTAGGTCTCCTGTTTCATGAGGATCAAGCCTAAGAGTCAGGAAGGAATTACTGTAGAAGTTTATGGCTCTTCTGAGAGGAATTTGATGAGTGATGGATGAAGTCTTTAAGGTATTCAGGGTCACAACAAGCGTACACATTTGGGATCAAGCTGTAGTCTGATGCGTCCACGTTGTCTAGGATTACAGTGGTCACTCCTAGTGCTAGAAGAGAGTCTTGGAGAGAAGTCTGAGGGATGCTTTGTAATGGCTTTGTGAAGGCAGCTGTGTGAGAGTCTATTGTACTCGAGATTATTCAGAATCTAGAGATATAAGACTCTTTAGAGTTTATGACTTACTTTTCAAGCTGAGATATTTGAGATTTGTGAGCTTGGGTCTTATTGAGCTTGATTAGGTATGAGTCATATGCTGATATAATTGGCATATTCCTCCTATTCAGCCTCAAAATTTCCACATGAGTATTCTTAAAATTCACATCTCCCAAAATCTCAATCATTTTCTCCTTCAAATCTCCTGCCAAATCCTCCGAAATCACACATTCCAGCATCTCCTTCCTCCCAATAACCCCTCATTGTTCACTACAAAAATTGTCCAAAATCCTTTCAAACAACTCAAAATCTAAAAATTAAAAAAGCACAAATATCACTTATATCAGTCCTCCTCTCTGCCATTCTCAGGTCCCTAAATTGAACACTCTTACTTACGTATAGATTCGGTTTAGTAGACTTAAGAAATCTTCAATAGCCATCTGCTTAGTGTATGCTCCAGTGCTACCAGTCAGAAGGATTCTTACCATACAAGCTTTAGAAGCAACCTAAAATAAGGGTTCCCCTAAAGATCAGAGACCTTATACCTGGCTTTCAAAGTTAAGCTTATTCAGGACTGTTTCTAGAGAAGATCAGATCAATATATCTCCAAATTCTGATTCAAATATCATGTGGTGAGGCCTAAAGAGGAAGGTTAGACAGAGATATATAATTTTCTCTAAATTTTAGAATGAAGCCTGCTTGGATACTACCACAAACTGATCATGGCTAAAACCCCACCTTGTTTTACTGAGAGATTCTAATATCTTCAGAATCTTTAATATTTGGGGCTGAGGCGAAATTATTTTACGCTCCATTTCTATTTTTTATATCTGAGAAGGGGTTTTGGGGTTTTGGGGTTTTGGGG